CCTCTTTCATGTGGATTTACACTAATTTCTTCAAGATGGTGTAATAAATAGGGGTGCACTGATAAAGATTTTTTTTGGCCAATACCAATGGCTGGTTATTAACTAGCCATATTGGCTGATACTGATCCAACAGCCGATATGCAGCCTGGCACCTTGGAGAGCAGCACGCGGCTGGTAAGTCTGTGGGGGGAAGGGGCGTGGGGATGGGAAGAGGCGTGGTGGGGGCAGATGGAGGTCCCCAGTAAAGGAGGGAATGGGAATGGGAATGGGGCAGGGCCAGACACTACCTGGCCAGGGCAGGGCGAGAGATGTGGGCACCTCATCCAGGAGGCACAGGGGGTAGGGAGAGGGGGGCAGGTCCCCTGGCCACTGCATGCACCCCAGGGGAGGCACGGGGGGCATGTACTCCCCCCTCCACCCCCCGCCGATGTGTATGCGGGGTGAGGATGGGCTGCAGACTCAGGGGCTGTGCCGACCTCTTCCCAAAGATGGGGGCTGGGCAGAGCCTGCACTTGGGGCAGGGTGGGTCGCGGTAGTGCTGGGATGAGTGGCTATGGAAAATTTTGGGGTAGCTGTAGCCCACCCTGTAGTCACCCCTCCCAGCCCCAAATGCAACCCCAGCCCAGCCCGTCAGGAAGAGACCAGCACAGTCCCCGGCCCTGAGCCCGCAGCAGTCCATCCACCCTCGCCCTGCGCACAAATCCAGTATGCACATGCCCCCCATGCCTCCCTCTATGGTGTGTGCAGCAGCAGAGAGCTGACCCTTCTCTCCCCATGCACCCTGGATGGGTGTCAGTGGCTCCGTCCTGCGCCTCACCCTGGTCCAGTTGGGCAGCACCTGTTCTTGCCCCAGCCCCACTCCCTCCCTCACTGTGGGGGCCTCAGTCTGCCCTCACCCCCCATGCCTTTTCCTCACCCACACCTCCCCCCAGAAACTTACTAGCTGGATGCTGCTCTCCAAGCTGCCTGGCTGCATTCCCAGATACATGCATGCTGCGACTACATGCATGCACACAGTATTTAATCGGTGACATTATCAGCTACACCAGCCAAAAAAAAGCCAATTGCCAATAATGTCAATTTTCCTTTTACTGGTGCTGATCCGATACGGACTAATATATCACTGCAAATATATCAATGCACCTTTAGTAATAAATGAAGATTACTTAAACAAACAATTTTTAAAACATACTTTTGAAGTGGCTCTCAGAGCTACCACAAGAATCCGATGTTTTCTGCTAATTTCATTCAAGGCGTGTGCACTGAGCCTGTACCCTTCCTAATAAATACAGGCAGAAAAAAAAAACACATGCTCTTCTGACAGCTATTAAGAGATGTGGCCTCAAACATTACAGCTAAAGCAATTCTATATTTAAAAGAATTTGTGCTACTGCTTCCAATTTATAGAGGAATTAGCAGCACAAATCTCCTGTTAAATCTAAAGCCACTTGAGCTGTAAAACAACTATTACAACTTGACTAGTGAGGTTGGATGAGGAGCACTCGACACAGAATCCTGCTGGTGAAAGGAATAAGAAAAAAAATGACAGGGAAGAATAATTAAGGAAGAAGAAACAAAGACTGAGACATAGAAAATGAAATGAAAAATATCTTCAGAGGACAAAAGACAGAAGTAATGAGAAAAATAAAGTGAAAATACAGAAACATAATAGACTGAAAGAGAAAAAATATTTTAAGATCGCTAATAAAAATGAGCAAACAAGCAAGAGGGTGATAATCTATAAAGAAGAGACCATATAACAATCAAAAAGAAAAGTCAGAATATTTTGTTTTGTGTAGTTAAGTCAAATGAGTTTTACAGCAGTGGCTATGTACAACTAAGATGGAAAGACAAGGGGAAAAAAACTGAGCAAGCTGCAAAGATACAGAAAGATGTATAACTGGCAATCAACTTAATGTTTAAAATCTCTTAATAAACCAAAGTATTGTAATGATTCTTAGAAAAAAATACAGTGATAATTTGTTAATATCTGATTTTATAAAACTGCGCTGTCCTGTTTAAAAAAAAATTGCTATTGGCATCTTACTGAAGTAAACATTTATTTTTACTTGCATCTTTAAAAAAAAGAGGGGGAAGGGGAGGTACTTTTCTTTATTAACATAACGCTGCACATAAAAGAGAGGTAATACAGCATTACAGTATCCTGGAACAGGAGGCGGCAGGGAAGAGGCAAATTCTTATATGCCACAGCCTCCAAATAAGAAATGCACCGTGTTTTTTGAAAAGCAGGATAAAGGAAGAGAAAAAAAAGATTTTTTTCCAAAATGATGTCTGACTACATGCAGCAGCTCACTTGCTACTCACTTGCTGCTTCAGGCACAAGCTATAAGGGTAACCCTCTAATAACCTCTAAAGTAACTGGTAGCAGCTAATGTCAAATCCTCAGCAGCTATGAGCAGCCTGGAGGGCCAAACAGAAGCAGGAGCCATTTTGGCAGCCACTAAAGCAGTGTCTTCATGCATCTATTCCAGCCAAGTAAAATTAGCTTCCCTGCTTATGGCATGCACCCCAATACTGAAGGGCTAAAGTGGGGAGGATATATAGCATACAAGTAAAAACAGTCAGTTACATATCTTTACTGGTTTACAAGTTATCGACTATGAGACATAGTGAGAGCAGATGCTTAAAAGCTTTAGACCGGGGTGGACAAAATACAGCCCGCGAGGCCATTCCATCCGGCTCGCGGGGCCCCTAAAAAAATGTAGAAAATTAATATTTCTCTGCCCTTGGTTCCTGTCAAAAATGACAGGAACCAAGGGCAGTAGGACCCAGGGGAAGCCCAGCAGGCTCCAATAACACCGGGGCCCACCCAGCTCTGCCAGGAGCGCCAGCTGGGGTTTCTGGGCTGTGGCTGCCCTGGCACGGGAAACTCAGGTAAGGGGGACCCTGGGCAAGGAAGGAGCATGGGGGGGGAGGCTCCATGCAGGCTGCGAGTGCCTGCAACGTGGGGCACCAGCCCTGGGGCGGCGGAGGGACCGCTTCTCCCCCGCGCTCAGCTTTTCCCTGGGCTCCTTCCCTGCGGAGAGAAAAGTGGCCCCTCACCCGCCCCATGGCCAGCGCCCTACGCTGCAGGCGCTCACAGCCCATGCGGGACTACCTGGAGCAGGCACAGGCAGCCCCATGCAGGCTGCGAGTGGCTGCGGCGCGGGGGCACCAGGCATGGGGTGGGGAGGAGCTGCTTTCTCCCTCCCCACGCTCAGCCCCACCTTGTAACCCGGCCCCACTGTGCCACACACTGCAGCCGCTTGCAGCCTGCCTGTGCCTGCTCCAGACAGCCCTGCGTGGGCTGCGAGTACCTGCAGTGCAGGGTGCCGGGCATGGGGCAGGTGAGGGGCCACTTTTCCCCACGCTCAGCACCAGCTTCTTCCCTGCTGGCGAGCAGGGGGTTGGGGCTGTGCGCTGCCCCCTGCCTGTACCGCGGGGCTGGGGGGCACTGGGTGTGAGCAGACGGGGAGCACAGGGTCTGCACTGGTGTCCCGGGGTCAGTGCCGGTGGGGCCCAGAGCAGGGTGGCAGGAGTGTGGGGCCTCAGCTGGCAGGGGGCCCTTGGGGGCGGGATGTGTTCTATGGAGCCAGGCCAGCTCCCCTCCCTCCCTGCTGGTGCAGCCCAACCCGGCTCCACAGACCCCTTCCAGCCTGTGCCCCGCTCTGGGTCCCA